TGTGTGTGTGTGTGTGTGTGTGTGTGTGTGTGTGTGTGTACATACAGAGAGAGAGAGAGATTTATCTCAGGAAAATGGCTCATATAGTTGTAGAGGCTGGCAGCTCTCAAGTTCCTGGGTCAAACATCAACTGATCATATAGCTGCAAGGGCTGACAAACTCAAGACCAGCAATCAGTATAGCAGGCTGCTGACTTCAGCAGATGATGAATCCAACATCAGCAGGCAAAAATGGCAGACTGTTGGCTAATAAGTTCATGGGTCAAACATCAAGCCAGAGGCTTTTCCTGACTCACACAGCTGCAGGAGCTGATCAACCCAAGATCAGCAGGCAGCTCAGAAAGATCCAGGTCCAAGAGAAAGTTTCAAAATTGTCTCACAATATCTATATCTATATCTATCTATATCTATCTATATCTATATCTATATCTATATCTATATAGGAAGCAGTCCACACCCTGAGGAAACCATGCTCAAAGCATATCCAACCATGGAGGTGACTACCTTATATCAAATCTCATCGTGTAACAAGCACACCACAACTGCTTAAACCACTCAGAATCATAGTCCAGCCAAGTTGACACACAACCTTAACTATCGAGGTCCATCTCATTCATTCATCAAATATTTTAAGTTATTTCTGTATTTCAGCTCCTATGCCAGGTACTGGCAGTTGTATACACATCTCCTTGTGTATATACACATATAATCTCTAAATAAAGACAGTTACAAAGCCATACTTGTGCCTAACATGATACAACTAACATGAATACAACTGAAAACTCATTAGCCCTGTTTACATTTTATATTTTATAATTGAAGCAAACAAGAATATTTGATGCACACATACAGTGAAGAAATAGTCATAACTATCACAGTTATTCTGTGTTGGTTTTCTAATGCTGCTATAACAGACATACCACAAGTGGATGGCTTTAACAAATAGCAATTTATTCTCTTATAGTTTAGGAGGCTAGAAGTCCAAGCTCTAAGTGCCAGCTCTAGGGGCTCAACTTTGGACTTCAGCTCTGCCTCTTGTTCCAGGTCCACTAGAGCTGGAGGCTTTTTCTGACTCAATCAGCTGCTGGCTGCTGAAGCTGATGAACCCAAGATTGACATAAAATAGCACAATCGCAGACAACACAGGAGGCTACTAGTTCAAGGCCAGGAACAATCACAAGATCAGCAGGCACCACAGCAGGCCACTGAGACAAAGACTTGGCAAAATGCAGGATCTAAATGTGTCAGAATCTCAAGACCTTTCTCAAAACTTCTCCATACATATTGGAAGCAAGCCACAACCCTGAGGATACTGCTTTTCAACTGAATGGCTACTCAAAGTTTATCCCACCATGGAGATAAGTACCTTCATCAGGTATCATTATAGGAACAACCACATCACAACAGCTGAAACCACTCAGAATCATGGTCCAGCCAATTTGACACACAACCTTATGTATCACAACCAGTACGGATAATTTCTTGGAAAATTGAAAATGAGTGTCCTGCTCTAAGACATGGCTAAATCACTGTTGCTAAATTTTATACATTCATCAAATATTTTAAGTTATTTCTGTATTTCAGATCCTATGCCAGGTATTATGCCTTTTTTTCCACTTAAATTTCAGTGAAAGAAACAGAAATCCACCACCACCACCACCACCACCATCATCATCATCATAACAATGTGACAGAGCCCATAAAAGTAGTATGAGGGTTATAGTAATTCAGAGGAGGAATTCTTTAACTCTGCCCTAAGAAATAGGAAATGTTGTCTAGAAAAGGTTCTACTTTGATTGGTTCTTGAAAGATAAGGAGAAATTACCGATATGGCAAGGTAGATAGGGAAATGTATGTCATGACTGAAGAACAAAATAAGCAAAAATCCAGGTAGAGGAAAGCATGTTGAAATAATTTGAAAACATTCTTTAAGGTTCAAGAACAGAATCTACCCCATGTCCAAGTACAGTGAACAACAGGATCAGATTCTAAGGGACCTGACATATTCTTGGTACCTTTGACTTTAAAAATTGTATTAACATATTTTAGCTTTTGTTTCCTTTAAATTAAATAACAATGCAAAGAAATAAATTAGAGAAAATGGCCTAATATCTACTTAACCAGCTAGAAAAAGCTAGAAACAGCATAATATTTTTGTATACGCTAAAAAGTTGTATTTAAAAGATTTTTAAAAAATATATTTACACACTTCTATATTTTGTACTTTTCCTCTACTTAATAATCTATCTTAGCTATATTTCTGTATCAGTACATCAAGGTCTATCTCATTTTTTTTAAAGCTTTATAAAATTCCATTGTATGGATGTACCATAGGTTACTCATCAGTTATTGATGGGGATTTTGAATTTT